GTTCGCATGGCGGCCTCGGGCCATTTCGGCACACCCCTCGAGAGGATCGTTGCCCCATAGGGAGCTCCACCGAAGGCCCCAGTGGCAGCGTTCGCATGGCGGCATCGGGCCATTTCGGCACACCCCTCACGAGGATCGTGGCCCCATAGGGAGCTCCACCGAAGGCCCCAGTGGCAGCGTTCGCATGGCGGCCTCGGGCCATTTCGGCACACCCCTCACGAGGATCGTGGCCCCATAGGGAGCTCCACCGAAGGCCCCGCGTTCGCGTGGCGGCCTCGGGCCATGTCGGCACACCCTTCACGAGGATCGTGGCCCCATAGGGAGCTCCACCGAAGGCCCCAGTGGTAGCGTTTGCGTGGCGGCCTCGGGCCATTTCGGCACACCCCTCGAGAGGATCGTGGCCCCATAGGAGCTCCACCGAAGGCCCCAGTGGCAGCGTTCGCATGGTGGCCTCGGGCCATTTCGGCACACCCCTCACGAGGATCCTGGCCCCATAGGGAGCTCCACCGAAGGCCCCAGTGGCAGCGTTCGCATGGCGGCCTCGGGCCATTTCGGCACACCCCTCGAGAGGATCGTTGCCCCATGGAGCTCCACCGAAGGCCCCGGTGGCAGCGTTCGCATGGCGGCCTCGGGCCATTTCGGCACACCCCTCACGAGGATCGTGGCCCCATAGGGAGCTCCACCGAAGGCCCCAGTGGCAGCGTTCGCATGGCGGCCTCGGGCCATTTCGGCACACCCCTCACGAGGATCGTGGCCCCATAGGGAGCTCCACCGAAGGCCCCCAGTGACAGGGTTCGCATGGCGGCCTCGGGCCATTTTGGCACACCCCTCACGAGGATCCTGGCCCCATGGGGAGCTCCACCGAAGACCTCCAGTGGCAGCGTTCGCATGGCGACCTCGGGCCAATTCGGCACACCCCTCACGAGGATCGTGGCCCCATAGGGAGCTCCGTCAAAGGCGCCAGTGGCAGGGTTTGCACGGCGGCATCGGGCCATTTCGGCACACCCCTCACGAGGATCGTGGCCCCATAGGGAGCTCCACCGCAGGCCCCAGTTGCAGGGGTCGCATGGCGGCCTCGGGGCATTTCGGCACACCCCTCACGAGGATCGTGGCCCCATAGGGAGCTCCACCGAAGGCCCCAGTGGCAAAGTTCGCATGGCGGCCTCGGGGCATTTCGGCACACCCCTCACGAGGAGCGTGGCCTCATAGGAGCTCCAGCGAAGGCGCCAGTGGCAAGGTTCGCATGGCGGCCCCGGGCCATTGCGGCACACCCCTCACGAGGATCGTGGCCCCATAAATGTGTTGCTTCAACAACCGCGCCTGGGCGTCGTACTCCGCCGTGTCGACGTGCAACGCCACCTCCTCCCTCATGGCTCTCAAAGCCCTGTTCTGCTTTTGCTCCTCGGTCAGAGGGACGCCGTCCGTGTCGTCGTCGGCGCCCGCGAAGATGGCCACGAACGTTTTCCTGAGCATGTCGGGTTCCGGCGTGAAGTTGTGGCCACATAGGGAGCGCGGGCAAAGATGGTATTCACAATTGCGGTATTCACAACTTCATATGGTTGGGTCCTTCGCCAGGCTAATGCAAACGCGGTGTATTTTGCGAGGGTTTGTGGCTTCGGGGGCGCGAGTCTTGCGTAATTTACGAGGGAGATTGGCTTCGGGGACGCGAATCTTGTGTATTTCTGCGTCCCACGCCCCCACGGGAATTCAGACAACGCGATCCGTGCGTAGTAACCGGGTGGTTTTGGGTTTCCCCCTTCGTGCAGACTTCGGCAACAGAAAGTGGGATTGTAACATTGGGTGCTTGAAATCTGGAATTGGCGCAGGGAGCAGCACACTTCGTCCTACAGCCTCGTGGCCCCACTAGGGGGCCAGCGGATTTTAAAAGGGATCGTAGTTTTGACTACACGTAAGATTGACCCTTCGCCATATTGACCTTTGGTGCGGGCTCACTGGGATCCCCCCGACCGCTGAGCGCGGTGTGGTAGTGGCTGCTTGCGCCCTTGGATTTGGCCACCTCGCGCCCCCTCAGTCCGCACACTAAAGGTCACTCTTACACAGGATCGCTCTTGCGTGTCGCCGAGTGGTTGTCCAGACCAGACTTGTAGCCGGCATCCCGGCGACATCACGCTTCCATCGTTGATCGTGAGGGGGGCTCTGGCGCAACGGCTGCCAGACGCCACCGGAAATTGCAGCCTCGGGCTCCCCGTCCCCCTTTAGGCGACGCTTGTGTGCGCTCTGGCTTTTTGGTAGGACCCCCCCCCCCAGCGAAGTGCGAATTACGGCGGCGGTATTGGATGAGGAACGTCTTCCTGGGGCCCAGACCCTGGCGCAGCCTTTTTTGTTTCAAGGCGAGATGGGTGGCCCGCGTTTGGCCACACATCGGTCGCGAGACCCTGGGATCCTTATCAAAGGTGTCCTTCTTGAAAGCCTCCGCCGTAGGGAACGACGCCGCCGGGACAGGGGTGAGAGAGCACATGGCTTGCCGGGGGTCGTGGCCGTGCCCGCATTTCAGGCGAGAGCACGATGCCTAAAGCGTCAGGAAGTCTGAGGCGAAACGGAGGAGGCGGAGGAGGAGGCGGAGGAGGAGGAGGAGGAGGAGCTGCCAGACCGCCGCCTGGCCACCGCCGGAGCGCCCCCGCCCTGGGCGGCCTCGGGTTCCCCGTCCCCCCAGTGGGAGTTTTGGGACCCTCCCCAGCGAAGCGCGATTAGGGCAAAGTCCCACCTAGTCGCACTCATTCTAGCGTATACTGTCGGACCGAGGTCAAAGAGCGAGGTCGATTCGGGGAGGGTGCCCCTGTGTTCTTCGTGCTCGTTGGATGTCCTCGCGCACCCCGGGGAGGTATAATCTTGGATGTACTGTGTGGTTTGGCCGGCGGAGGGCCTCGTGTTCTTGAGGGATGCTCTTCTGTCGTGGGTCCGCCTGCAAGGCGAACCCCGCCTTGTCTTGGCGGCGCGCAAAGGGGGTAGATAGAGGGAGGAAGGCTTCTTAGAAGCACCGCTGCTTCTTAGAAGGCACGGGCCTTCTCCGTAGATGTAAGGCCCGCGCCCTCTAAGGAGCAGCCTCCTTCTAAGAAGCCCTCCCCCCTCTCCCCCTGCCCCCCTCTGCACGTCGCCAATTGCCGCATTCACTCGGCGTGCAGCCCGCAGAACGGAGGGCGGGTGCCTTGTCAAACGGAGATCCCGCCAGAACTGCTGGCCCACGGGCCGCTCGTCTTTCAAGGCGGGCGCCCCGCGCAGCGAAGCAGCACGCGCCTGCAGGGACTGTGGAGGGAGGGGGCCGGGGACGGCACGATGCATTGCAGCATCACGTCGCGGGCCATGATGTGCCGACCTACTTTAGCCTCGATCGCCAGGAAGGATCTCGAGCGCCAGGAAAGTGCCCAAACTGGAGGCACTTCACGTGTCGGGCTCCAGGGGGCGATGTATTCATTTTCGACTCTTCGCCAGCGTGCCGGGGAGACTGTTTCGCTGCGTTTCTGGGTGCTCGATTTTCACCTGACAGCGAAGACTGATAGGTTTCTAGTAGGGTCAAAAGAGAGCATCATGACGCCCCAGAGGGGTCTGGGCGCGATCCGGGGAGATGCCGGGGATTTTTTTAAGCCAACAGTTACACACTTCGTGGTCTTCGAGGTCCCAGAACTCCATTCCGGGGCCACATTCTGAATGCCCGGATCCAATTGTAGGCCACTTCGTGGTCTTCGAGTTCCCAGAACTCCATTCCCGGGCCACATTTTGACTGCCCAGAGCCAACTGTAGGCCACTTCGTGGTCTTCGAGTTCCCAGAACTCCATTCCCGGGCCACATTTTGAATGCCCGGAGCCAATTGTAATTGTAGGCCACTTCGTGGTCTTCGAGGTTCCAGAACTCCATTCCTGGGCATGATTTTGAATGCCCCGAGCCAACTGTAGGCCACTTCGTCTTCTTCGAGTTCCCAGAACTCCATTCCCGGGCCACATTTTGAATGCTCAGGCAGGCTGAGGCTGAGGCTGAGGCAGGCTGAGGCTGAGGCAGGCTGAGGCTGAGGCCGAGGCTGAAGGCAGACTGAGGCTGAGGCTGAAGCAGGCTGAGGCTGAGGCTGAGGCAGGCTGAGGCTGAGGCTGAGGCAGGCTGATGCTGAGGCAGGCTGAGGCTGAGGCTGAGGCTGATGCAGGCTGAGGCTGAGGCTGAGGCTGAGGCTGAGGCCTGAGGCTGAGGCAGACTGAGGCTGAGGCTGAAGCAGGCTGAGGCTGAGGCAGAGGCAGGCTGAGGCTGAGGCTGAGGCAGGCTGATGCTGAGGCAGGCTGAGGCTGAGGCTGAGGCTGATGCAGGCTGAGGCTGAGGCAGGCTGAGGCTGAGGCCGAGGCTGAGGCTGAGGCTGAGGCTGAGGCTGAGGCTGAGGCAGGAGGCTGAGGCTGAGGCTGAGGCTGAGGCTGAGGCTGAGGCTGAGGCTGAGGCTGAGGCTGAGGCTGAGGCTGAGGCTGAGGCTGAGGCTGAGGCAGGCTGAGGCTGAGGCTGAGGCAGGCTGAGGCTGAGGCAGGCTGAGGCTGAGGAGGCTGAGGCTGAGGCTGAGGCTGAGGCAGGCTGAGGCTGAGGCCGAGGCTGAAGGCAGACTGAGGCTGAGGCTGAAGCAGGCTGAGGCTGAGGCTGAGGCAGGCTGAGGCTGAGGCAGGCTGAGGCTGAGGCTGAGGCAGGCTGAGGCTGAGGCTGTGACTGCGACTGCCGTTGCCACTGCGACTGTCATCGCGAATGCGACTACGACTGCGAGAACAGCAGAATTCTACAACAGGATTCTCATCTGAATCTTAAGGGGAAAGTTTCCAGATATGCTCCTACACATCGCTGTTAGGTTGCTTTGCCGGGATAATTATTCTTGGGATGTGGTCCTTGAGTACGTATGATGGGAACAACGTAAGGCTCGGGCTTGCTTTGGTCATCACCCTCCCTCGCCGCATTGCCATCCCCCGCCTTTGCCCCTCCTCCCCGCAGTCCTCCCCCGATTGGAGACCGCCTTCCGGGAGGCCACGCATGGTGCGGGACCTGTCGCTCAAAGGCGCCGCCTGCTCTTCCACGCGCGCGCGCGACTTCGCGGGGGGGGGAGGTGGGTCGGCCGGTCAGACAGGCAGAGGTCTTTCGGGCAGCCTGCGTGTTTTTTTCGGTGCACGTGCGTAGTTCCAGAGCTCCCTCGGGGCGCTCTGTAGCAGCCGCGGCGTCCGAGGTTTTCCCCAAGCCCGGTGGCTCTCAGGGAGCCCCGAGTCGCGGGTGTATGGGGAGGAGGCATCCTTGGCCTTGGGTGGCCCCAGCTTTTCCAGGGATGCCCAGATGGCATCCAGAGCTCCCCTCACGAGGCCCAGAGGGCCCTAGGGGCGGCGGCCCCTCAGATGGGATCAGAGCCCGACAAACAAGAAGCCTGACGAAGAGCCCAACCCTTTGCAGCTGCGCGTAGCGCAGGGCGTGGTCCTCTCATCCCGTAGTGCGGGCCGCGGGCAGTGCGAGCAGGGGGCTGCGGAGCCCTCGAAGCGCGGTGTGGTGCATGTGTTTGTGCGCGTTCGGGCCTGGGGCGTGGGGCTCCGTAGAAGGCCGCTGACCCTGGCCCTGCCTCATCCTTGCCCGTGGCCATCCGATCCCGGAGCAGAGCCGGGTCAGGAAGGAGGACAGCAAGCCAAGGGCGGGAGGAGAATGATGGAGGAGGTGGAGGGCGAGGGCTGCGGAGAAGGAGAGGGGCGGCACTCTCGAAGAGGGAACACTGCGTAGCGGTAAACTTCAAGAGGTCAGCTCCGATGTCCCCCTCCCTGGCGTGCGGATTCGTGGGGGTCGAGCGCCGATACAAGACACCCGCTCGGACCTTTCACGTTAGTGAAGTCTTTTTTGTTATTGTGTTCAGCTGCGATCAAAACCAGCCACCAGAGTAAGCGTGCGCCGTCGTGCATACTTGCGCCCGTCGGTGAACACCCCTGCACGCTATTCCCCCTATCTTCGGCCAAGCGCAGAGGGGGGCAGGGGGGAAGGAGGGACGGCTTCTTATAGAAGGAGGCTGCTTCTCAGAAGGCGAGGGCCTCATCTACAAATTCAAGGCCCGTCCAGGGCCGCCGGGTCTCGGAGATTCTCGATATCATCCCCACCCGATGTTATCCTCGTCCTGGCTTCGTTTCGGCCTTCCGTCCCCCTGCCCCCCGCGGTGCGGGCCGCCGCAAGCTCCATCCCGCAGCCCCCTGCCCCTCCCGTGGGGTGACCTACAGAGGCCATGTGGCCCCACGCATCCTTCCGTCCGGACCGAGGTGTAAGGTCGAGGTCGGTTGGGGGAGGGTCGGGTTCTGAGTGTTTGTTGGATGCTTGCCGCCGCGGCAGATGGGGGAATCTACGTGGCCGTAGCACCATTGTGGAATGCACTGGAACCTTGCTTTGTGAATCGTGAGTGAGCCTGATGGTAGCGACTCTTGCCAGCACAGCACGCGTGAGTTGCCCCTCTTCAAGCGCTCCTGCCCCGCCCCGCGAGTCCCCATCGCGTGGGCACTCTGGCGCGAGCACCGTCACTGCCACCGTCTTGTGCATCCCACTGGATGTTCTGCGTGCGTTCGCCAGCGGAGGGCCTCATGTTCTGGGAGGGTGTTCTGATGTCCTCGGTCTGCCTCGGTCTGGCCATACAGTTTTTCTTTCACCAGCGAGTGGGAGACCAGTGGCAGAGTCCAGGGGGACGACACGACACGACGACGAAAACGACGGACCACAGGCGAACGACAAGCGCGCGTGGGGTGGATGGGGGAGGGACGATGGGAGGTGGGGAGGGCAAGGGAGGCGCGCCGGCCCGCGCCCGCACCATGCACGCCCTCGCCCTGCTTTTGCCGGAGCCGACCGCCACGTTGCATTGCTTGTGGCAGCAGCGGGCCGCAGAGGGAAGCTGTCTGGGGCAGCTCTCGGAGGCCTCAGGGCTGATGCCGCCGACCCTGGACGACTCAGTAGGGAAAAACACTCAGACACAGTTAATCGTCGACTCCCAGGAGAATATCTGAAAATATGGACAGTGTGGGGGGGGAAGACGAGCACCCAGAACATTTAGGAAGACATGGGGGATCCTGGGATCTGTGTCTCTGGTTGTGTGTGTGTGTGTGTGTGTGTGTTTCTGGGCCCCTCTCACGGCGACCCCCACCATGGCAGAGGCGCTCGGGAAGGACGGGAGCGGACGCTCCCAACGAGTGCCCAGGAGGCTGCACACGAGGCCCCCAGAGAGGTGCCCAGGAGCCCACCCATCCTCGAAGTTTCGGGGGGGGCGTCTCGGGAGAGCCCTGTGGCGTCCCAGGGCTTCCTGTGGCAGCTCCCTCGGGGCGCCTGGGGGCCTATCGTGAAGTCGGGAGTGTCCCTCTACAGGGAATTCCAAAAAAGTTGAAAAATAGTCTGGGACGATTTTTCAATTATCTTTCGAATATATCCGTAAGGGCTTCGCCCCCTGCCGCCGGCCCCCTCTTTCGGAGAATGGGCCATGGAAGAGCGAAGTCATGAGGCTTTGGCTTTGCCGTGAAGCAGTGGCGGGACCTGTTTGTTTTTCGACCCTGACCCTGCCGATCTGCGTGAGGAGTGCCGCCGAATTTTAGACATGTGACAAATCCCTTCTGTTTTTGGACCCTGACCCGACGGATCTGCGTGAGAGGTGTCACCGAATTTCAGACATGTTTCAAATCCCATGTGTTTTTGGACCCTGACCCCGCCGATCTGCGTGAGGGGTGCCACCGAATTTTAGAAATGTGGCAAATCCTTGGAACGCCTTGTCGGGCCGCTGCCGAAGCGCTCCCGCACGCGCCGGCTCGCACGGAATGCTTGTCGGGCCGCTCGGGAAGCGCCCCCGGTCGTGCAGGCCCCCATGGAATGCTCGTCGGGCCGCTCCAGGGGCGCTCTGGCTCGCAGGCCGAACGCTTGGAAGCGCTTGGGCGCGCCTGGGAGCGCCTGGGCTTGGATTTCGGGCCTGCCGACGCCGCGCTCGATTTGGGCAAATCTGGCAGATTCTGGCCGACCCGGCAAAATGTCAGTGGCTCCACAAAAACGGCTCCCAATTCACATTTTCCTTTTTATTTTATATGATTTTGGGTTCCGGTACGTTCCTGGCCCAATTTCGGGCGGCCCGCTCGTGCCAGCTCGCACGGAGTCGGGCCGCTCCGGGGGCGCTCCGGCTCGCACGGAGCGCTCGGGCGCGCTCGACTCGGGCAAATCTAACAGATTCTAGCGGACCCGGCAAAACGTCAGTGGCTCCACAAAAACGGCTCCCAATACGCATTTTCTTTATTATTTAATGTGGCTTTGGGCTGCGGTACGTTCCCGGCCCAATTTCGGGCAAACCGCTCGTGCCAGCTCGCACGGAGTGCTCGTCGGGCCGCTCCCGGAGCGCTCCGGCTCGATTCGGGCGACGGATCTGCGTGAGGGGCGCCACGAGATTTCAAACATGTCGCAAATTCCAATTCTTCTCGGACCCTGACCCCGCCGATCTGCGTGAGGGGCGCCAGGAAATCTCAGAAATGTAGCAAATCCCTTGTGCGTTTGGACCCTGACCCCGCCGATTTGCGTGAGGGGTGCCACCGCATTTCAGAACTGTGGCAAATCCCTGACGTTTTTGGACCCTGACCCCGCCGATCTGCATGAGGGGCGTCACCGAATTTTAGAAATTCAGCAAATCCCTTTTTGTGTTTTTTGACCCTGACCCCGCCGATCTGCGTGAGGGGTGTCACCGAATTTAAAACATGTGGCAAATCTTGTTGTATTTTTGGACCCTGACCCCGCCGAGCTGCTTGAGGGGTGCCGCAGAATTTCTGACATGTGGCAAATCCATTATGTTTTTGGACCCTGATCCCGCCGATCTGCGTGAGGGGTGCCACCGAAGTTCAGAAATGCAGCAAATCCCTTTTGTTTTGGGACCGTGACCCCACCGATCTGCTTGAAGGGAGCCACCGGATTTCAGAAATGTAGCAAATCCTCTGTGTTTGTGGATCCTGACCTCGCCGATCTGCATGAGGGGTGCCACCGAAGTTCAGAAATGTGGCAAATGCCCCGTGTTTTTGGACCCAGACCCCGCCGATCTGCGTGAGGGGTGCCACCGGATTTCAGGAATGTGGCAAATCCTTTTTGTTTTTGGACCCTAACCCCTCCGATTTGCATGAGGGGTGACAATTTTTACCCTTCCAGGAATTCTGAGAACCCTCCCCGGGGGTGCTAAAAAGGACAGTTTTCGGCTCCCCCCCCCTCGCGCGGACAGTAACAATTTACAGTAGGAAGCAGAAAGTAGTTTTGTAACAATAGAAACTGGAAATTGGAACTGCTGCAGGGAACAGCAAGCTTAACCCTCGCAGCCTGATGGCCCCGCAAGGGGGCCGGCGGATTGGAGCATGTTCGGAGTTCCCTTGGAATTTCATGCAAAATCCGCTGCAGGTGGACATTCCCGGCCTAAGCCCATCGCGGGGGCCTCGTGGGGGGCCTCTTGGTCCCCAGGGGCAGATCTCGAGGGGCCCGGCAAACCGGGCAGTTTGAAAAACCAGGCCGCCGATGTTGCGCGTCTTCTCGTAAGTCGGGCGTGCCCCCCCTACATGAGGAATGTTCAAAAATAGTATGGCGACGACTTTTCTGTTATTGTTCGCGTATTTTAGAAAATGTTTGGGGTATTTCCCTACCTAGGCTCTGCCTAGAAGGGTTCTTACTCTCTTAGCTTAAAGGGGCCGGGCAGTGCAAAGCGCCCCGGGCGGTTCCCCCAGTCCCCTGGGAGCGGTTCCCCCCAGTCCCCTGGGAGCTTTAGCTTTAGCTTAAGCTTTAGCTTTAGCTTTAGCTTAGCTGTAGCTTAGCTTTAGCTTAGCGTTTCGCTTAGCTTTTCGCTTAGCGTTTAGCTTAGCTTTAGCTTAGCTTTAGCTTAGCTGTAGCTTAGCTGTAGCTTAGCTTTAGCTTAGCTTTAGCTTTAGCTTAGCTTCAGCTTAGCTTTAGCTTAGCTTTAGCTTAGCTTTAGCTTAGCTTTAGCTTAGCTGTAGCTTAGCTTTAGCTTAGCTTTAGCTCAACTTTAGCTCAGCTTTAGCTTAGCTTTAGCTTAGCTTTAGCTTAGCTTTAGCTTAGCTTTAGCTTAGCTTTAGCTTAGCTCTAGCTTAGCTGTGGCTTAGCTTTAGCTTAGCTTCAGCTTAGCTTTAGCTTAGCTTTAGCTTAGCGTTACAGTGACTACTAATGCTGTTTTCCTAGGGGTTCCAACTCCTAGGTAGGGTCGCACTGGGATAATTTTTCAAGTCGTCCAGAATCCTGCATGTAGGGGGACATCCCCGACCTAAGTCTTCTCCACAGCGTGGACCCCCCGGAGGTCCCGACCCGTGCTCAGGTTGGGAGTCGCGCAAAGCAGGGGGCGATATCATGAGGTGGCAGCGAGGGCTGTAGGAAAGGATAGGGCCCCTAGAGGAGCCCCTTAGTCCGAACGATCGAAGTGGGTACGGATTTTATGGTTACAAAGACGGACATCAATCCCTGTTCATTCCCTACCTAGGCTCTGCCTAGAAGGGTTCTTACTCGGTAAGCTTAAAGGGCCGGGCAGTGGGGCCCGCCCCGGGCGGTTCCCCCAGTATCCGCCCCGCGGTTCCCCCAGTTACGGCTCCTTAGCTTTGCGTTGCTTATCTCATCTTAGTTTAGCTGATTTCATCTTACCTTAGCTTAGCTTCATCTTAGCTCAGGTTTATCTTAGCTGAGTCTACCTTCATCTTAGAAAGAGCGTGTTCTACCGCTGCTGGCGGAAAACCGGGGGGGGTCACTACCGGTTCGAACCCTTCCCCCCCCCCCCCCACCGGAAAACCGAGGGGGGGTCACTACCGGTTCGAACCCCTCCCCCCCCCCCCCAGCTCATCATGAAAAGGGGGGGGGGGGTCACTACCGGTTCGAACCCCTCCCCCCCCCCCCCTCTCGAAAACCGAGTGGGGGTGCGGACAGAGGTGGGGACGGTGTTGGTGGGACAGTGGTGAGGGGACAGCGGGACAGTGGTGGGGACAGTGGGACAGTGGGACAGTAGAGGGCCGGTAGTGGTGGGGACAGTGGTGGGGACAATGGTGGGAACAGGGGGGACAGTGGACAGTGGTGGGGACGGTGGTGGTGGGGACAGTGGTGTGGGCACAGTGGGAATGAGGTGGAAACAGTGGGACAGTGGAGGGTACAATGGTGGTGGGGACAGTGGTGAAGGCGGTGGCGAGGACGGCGGTGGGACAATGGGACAGAGGTACAGTGGGGACAGTGGTGGGGACAGTGGGGACAGTGGTGGGAACAGTGGGACAGCTCAGTGGGACAGCGGCGGAGTCAGTGGGACAGTGGGGACAGTGGGGATAGTCGGGCAGTGGTTGGGGCCGTGGAGACAGTGGGGAGAGTGGAACCGTGGTGGGAACAGTGGTGGGGACAGTGGGGACAGTGCGACAGTGGTGGGGGCACTGGTGGGGACACAGTGGGGACAGTGGTGGTGAGGACAGTGGCGCTGGGAACAACAGTGGAGGATGTGATGCGGACGGTGGTAGGGACCGGGAGTCGTTTGCTGGCGGTGAGTGGGGGGTGGGGAGGGGTTCGAACCGGTAGTGATCCCCCTCCGGTTTTCGAGGGGGGGGGGGGTTCGAAACCGGTAGTGACCCCCCCGGTTTTTCCGGATCCTGAGAGGGGGGGGGGGGGAGGGGTTCGAACCCGTAGTGACCCCTCCCGGTTTTCGAGGGGGAAGCGGGGGAGGGGGGGGGGGGGGGGGGTTAGGGGAGGGGGGGGGTTTTGCCGGGGGAGGGGTGGGGGGGGGGGAGGGGTTCCAGCAGGGGGGGGGGATTTTCGGAGGGGGGGGGGGGCGACCCCCGGGCTCCGGAGGAAAAGGTTGGCAATTTTCCACAGTAAAGCGCGGTGGATCACGCTCTCTCTCATCTTAGCTTCGTTGAGCTTTAGCATCGCGATCACAGCATAACATCAGCAGCATAGCACATATAGCGGGACATTTCATAGCATAGCATAGCGACAGCATAACATTTATCATCATAACATAACCAGCATTGCATGGCATGGCATTGCACAGCATGCATTAGCATATCATGCGCGCATATCATAGCATTAGCATAGATAGCATCGCATATCATAGCATATCCTCGCATATCATAGCTATCGCGCTAAGCTAGGCATAGCTAGCATTGGTCATCGCTTCCATACAACAGCATTGCTGCAGCAAGCATAGCTTATCGCATATTTATATTGCATAAGCACATAGCGCATAGCAGCATAGCACATATCATAGCACATTAACATAGCATAGCATAGCATAGCAAATAGCATAAGCATAGGCTTTCCTAGGGGCTCCAACTAGGTAGGGTCGCACTGGGGTAATTTTTTAAGGATTCGCTGTCGGTCCCGCCGCGGGCCTTGTCCATTTGAGACAGAAGGTCGCCTGACCAATTGCGGCCGCTGTCGGTTTGGGACAACCTTTGTTGTTGGGATCGTATCCATCTTTCCATTCCGTACCCATTTCGGGCGTCCAAAATGTGGTTCCAGGAGGGGGCTTTCAGGGCCCGAGAAGTGCACCTTCCCCCCCCCCCCCTCATTTATCGCCTCCCCATGAAGCGCCGCCCAACCAGGACCGGCTTTTCATCCCGAGTTGGTTTCTGCATCCCCAGAGGCCGAAGATGGTTTTCTGCATCCCCAGCATCCCTTGAAGTCATCCGTCGCGTGGTTTCACGACGCGAGGGGATCTGCGGTCCACGGGGGCGACCGGCCGGGTGGCGCCCGGGACGAGCCCAGTGGTGCGCGGCCATCGCCCCCGAGTCGGGTCCGAACGTGAGCGACGAACTCATGTGAAGCGGTTGCGGAGGAGGGGGGGTCAGAGGAGGAGAGGCAGGCGGACGAGGAGGAGCAGCAGGAGGGGAGGAAGGAGGAAGGGGGGAAGGGGGGGGTAATTAGGAGAGAAGAGGAGGGAGGGGGGTGGGAGGGGGGGTTAGGCAGGATGAAATGGAGGAGGAAGAGGAGGAGGAGGAGCACTGTGGCCCCGCCATGTTGAGGACAGTGTAGGGGCTCTCGGGTCCGCCGAGTCAACTGCCCTGGGAGGGGGGGGGCTCACTGGGCATCCGACGCGACGGCCTCTCAGAGTGTATGCATTTTGCTTCTTGGGCCATCTGCATTAGGATGGGGAGGAGCACGGCAGAACCCGCAGATCCAGGCCTCGCAACAGAGATCGTGGTGACCGGTTGTCATAAGTTCCTGTCCACAGGGGACTGCCTCTCGCCGTCGGGGCCATCACAATCACAGAACAGCTAATCTCATCATTAGGTGCCACGTGTTTCTGTTCTTCGCGGCCGAAACGATCGGTCGCCACCCACTTTGCTATACAACCGTTAGTGGCTGGTTACCTGTAAAGTCGGATGCGGCCGCTCAGTCGCGACCGATCGGTCGCGACCGATTTGGAGTGCCGATCGGTCGCTAACGATCGCGATTGACAAAGTCTGGTACACAATGATCTGGGTCAGGATGAAGGCTGGCCCTGGGAAGAGATCGAGATCCCCGGGGGACCCAATTCGCGAACAAAAGTCCGCCGTGGGTGGGAGGAGAGGAGGGGGAACGGCGCCGTGCACCTCAGAGCGTGCAGCGGGAGGCCGCAGAAGCTCTTGCAGCGCACCCCCCCTTCCCCTTCGGATGCGCTCAAGTTTGAGCCGGCTCAGGGTCTGAGGTGGGTGCCTCGGGGCCGTCAAAAACGGATCCTCGGTGACAAAGTGCACCAGCTAAACGAACCCTGGAGGGTTCTGGGGATTGATTTTGAGCGGTTGTTGTTATCCCCCCTTCTTGACCGATTTTCTCAGGGCCATCCAGTTCAGATCCCTGGGCGGTCTCAGATAATCTTGCAGTGCTCTCTCCCGAATGGGCGTGCTCCTGCCAAACTCCGTGCCCCGCCCCGGGAACGCCGAAGCGTGTCAGCCGGCGATGTCGAGTCGAGGGAAGAACACGATGAACATGACCAAGCTGTGGCCGTCGCCGATTCGCACGGGATACCGATGACCAAGAGAGATGGTGAACAAGATCGACACCGACGGTTCTGCGTTCAGCACTGGTCATGGTCGGTAGTATTGGCGTACAGGTGGTGGGGCATTCAGGCCCACGCGATTCACGCAGTCGTGCAAACAGGCTACTCGTGTTGTCGCGTGGGGGACGCCAATTCAGATTTTTGAAACGGACATGGTCTTGCATCAGAGCGGCCACGACATTTATGGTCAGAGCCTGTGAGCATGCATAATCTCTGATGTTTCATTCAGCAGCCCGAACAGGTTGGCGGCTCGCACAAGGGGGTCGGGGGAGGGGGGGAGGCTTCTTGGAAGGAGGCTGCTGCTAAGAAGGCGCCGGTCTCATCTATAGATGTAACGCCTTCGAAGAAGCAGGCGTGTCCCTGAAGCAGGGGTGCTCCTAAGAGCCCCCCTCTGCGCGTGGCCGCACGGGGGGCGCTTGCTTGAAAGACGTCGTTGCCCCCCCCCCCTCCCAGCCAGGGCGGCCCGCCGCCGCTCGCCCGCGCCTCCCCGCCCGCGGAGGCACGGCGGGGCACGCGCAGAGGCGCGCCGCGCCGGTGCAGACCTTCAACCGCGCCGAGCGCTGGCCCAGGCACCGCGTGCGGAGCCGCGGCGGGGAGTTGGGCACCCGGTGCGTCAGCGAGGTTTGCTGGGCGCTCACTCTGGCGTGCAGGATGCACTCCTTCGCATGTTGTGTGTAGAGTTCAGTCGGGCGTGTCCCTGTACAGGGGGATTTTTCAAACATTGTCAAAAAATAGTAGGGGGACTATTTTTTGACTATGTCTTCATAGTTTTCGAATGTTTGTTCCCAACCATCCTGTGGTGTTGGGTCCTCGTTTTGAAGAGACGGTGCCCCGCGTTCCTCTCCTCTCCTCCTTCCTCCTCCCCCTCCTTCCTCCTCCCTCCCCCCCCTCCTTGCCTCTGCCTTCCACATGTCCATTCCTACACACCCCTCACATGTTTCGTCGCCCCACAGGGAGCTCCACCGAAGGCCCCAGTGGCCGTGCCCACGTGCGTCCGCGCCACCCATATCGGCGCACCCCTCACACGTTTCGTGGCCCATACGGAGCTCCACCGAAGGCCCCAGTGGCGGTGTCCACATGCGTCCGCGTCATTCATGTCGGTGCCCCCCTCACACGTTTCGTGGCCCCATAGGGAGCGCAACCGAATGCCCCAATGGTTGTGTCCACATGCGTCCGCGCCTCTCATTTCGGCGCCCCCTCACACGATTCGTGCCCCCATAGAGAGCTCCACCGAAGGGCCCACTGGCGCGCCATTCATTTCGGCGCACCCCTCACACGCTTCGTGGCCTCATACGGAGCTCCACCGAAGGCCCCGGTAGCGGTGTCCACATGCGTCCGCGCCACCCATGTCGTCGCACCCGTCACAGGTTTCGTGGCCCATAGGGAGCTCCACCGAAGGCCCCAGTGGCGGGGTCCACATGCGTCTGCGCCACCCATTCCGGCACACCCCTCGCAGGATTTGTGGCCCAATAAGGAGCTCCACCGAAGGCCCCCACGACGGTATCCACATGCGTCCGCGCCACCCATTTCGGCGCACCCCATCACGCGTTTTGTGGCAAGCTCCCCGCAGGCCCCAACGGCGGTGTCCACATGTGTCCGCGCCACCAATTTCGGCGGATCGTGGCCCAATACAGAGCTCCACCGGTGACGGTATTCACAATTGCAGTACTCTCAACTGCATAGGGTTGGGTCCTTCGCCAGGCTAATCGAATCTGCTATTTTTCCCAACCCTCCTTGGTTGGGTATTCGTTTTGAATAGAGGGGTGTGGTCGCGTCTCTCCTCCTTCTCCTCCTCCTCCCGCTTCCCGTCTCCCTCTTGTCTCCTCTCGCCTTGTGGGTGCCGCGTGTGTGTGTGTGTGTGTGTGTGTGTGTGTGTGTGTGTGTGCGTGTGTGCGTGTGCGTGTGCATCTTGCATGCGGTACCTCTTGTGTGCATCTTGCCCTTTCTCCCGCCCCCCCCTGTGGTCGCCGTCCCTGGGGGGCTGCGATCTGCGAAACTGTCGCCACATTCGAGGGCTGCTGGTGGGTCCAGCGGAGTGAGGCACCGCGCGGACCTGAGCAGGACCTCGCCGTCCCTAGGGTGCTGCGATCTGCGAAACTGTCGCCACTTTCGAGGGCTGCTGGTGGGTCCTGCGGGGTGAGGCACCGCGCGGACCTGAGCGGGACCTCGCCGTCCCTGGGGGGCTGCGATCTGCGAAACGGTCGCCACTTTCGAGGGCTGCTGGTGGGTCCAGCGGAGTGAGGCACCGCGCGGACCTGAGCGGGACCTCGTCGTCCCTGGGGGGCTGCGATCTGCAAAACCGTCGCCACTTTCGAGGGCTGCTGGTGGCGGGGTGAGGCACCGCGCGGACCTGAGCGGGACCTCGCCGTCCCTGGGGGTCTGCGATCTGCGAAACGGTCGCCACTTTCGAGGGCTGCTGGTCCTGCGGAGTGAGGCACCGCGCGGACCTGAGCGGGACCTCGCCGTCCCTGGGGGGCTGCGATCTGCGAAATAGTTGCAATTTTCGAGGGCTGCTGGTGGGTTCTGCGGAGCGATGCACCGCGCGGACCTGAGCGGGACCTCGCCGTGCTTGCGGGGCTGCGATCTGCGAAGCCGTCGCCACCTTCGAGGGCTGCTGGTGGGTCCTGCGGAGTGAGGCACCGCGCGGACCTGAGCGGGACTTCGCCGTCCCTGGGGGGCTGCGATCTGCAACATTGTCGCCACTTTCGAGGGCTGCTGGTGGGTCCTGCGGAGTGAGGCACCGCGCGGACCTGAGCGGGACCTCGCCGTCCCTGGGGTGCTGCGATCTGCGAAACTGTCCCCGCTTCCAAGGGCTGCTTGTGGGTCCTGCATAGTGAGAACCGCGCGGACCTGAGCGGGACCTCGCCGTCCTTGGGGGGCTGCGATCTGCGAAACTGTCGCCACTTTCGAGGGCTGCTGGTGGGTCCTGCGGGGTGAGGCACCGCGCGGACCTGAGCGGGACCTCGCCGTCCCTGGGGGGCTGCGATCTGCGAAATTGTCGCCACTTTCAGCGGCTGCTGGTGGGTCTTGTGGAGCGAGGCACCGCGCGGAGCTGAGCGGGACCTCGCCGGCCCTGGGGGGCTGCGATCTTCGAAATTGCCGCCACTTTCGAGGGCTGCTGGTGGGTCCTGCTGGGTGAGGCACCGCGCGGATCTGAGCGGGACCTCACCGTCCCTGCGGGGCTGCGATATGCGAAAGTGTCTTAATTTTCGAGGGCTGCTGTTGGGTCCTGCGGATTGAGGCACCGCGCAGATCTGAGAGGGACCTCGCCGTCCCTGCGGGGTTGCGGTCTGCGAAACTGTTGCTACTTTCAAAGGCTGGTGGCGGGTCCAGCGGGGTGAGGCACCACGCAGATCTGAGCGGGACGTCGCCGTCCCTGGGGGGCTGCGATCTGCGAAACCGTCGCCACTTTCGATGGCTGCCGGTCCTGCGGAGCGAGGCACCGCGCGGATCTGAGCGGAACCTCGCCGCTTGTGGGGCTGCGATCTGCGAAATTGGTGCCATTTTCGAGTGCTGCTGGTGGCACCGCGCGGACCTGAGCGGGACCTCGCCGTCCCTGGGTGCGCTGCGATCTGCGAAACTGTCGCCGCTTTCGAGGGCTGCTGGTGGGTCCAGCGGCGCGAGGCACTGCGCGGACCTGAGCGGGATGTCGCCGTCCCTGGGGGGCTGCGATCTGCGAAACCGTCGCAACTTTCGAGGGCTGCTGGTGGGTCCAGCGGAGTGAGGCACCGCGCGGACCTGAGCAGGACCTCGCCGTCCCTAGGGTGCTGCGATCTGCGAAGCAGCCGCCACTTTCGAGGGCTGCTGGTGGGTCCTGCTGGGTGAGGCACCGCGCGGATCTGAGCGGGACCTCGCCGTCCCTGGTGGGGCTGCGATCTTCGACATTGTCGCCACCTTCGAGGGCTGCTGGTGGGTCCAGCTGAGTGAGGCACCGCGCAAATCAGAGCGGGACCTCGCCGTCCCTGGGGGGCTGCGATCTTCGACATTGTCGCCACTTTCGAGGGCTGCTGGTGGGTCCAGCTGAGTGAGGCACCGCGCAAATCAGAGCGGGACCTCGCCGTCCCTGTGGGGCTGCGATCTGCGACATTGTCGCCACTTTCGAGGGCTGCTGGTGGGTCCTGCGGAGTGAGGCGCCGCGCCGATCTGAGCGGGACCTCGCCGTCCCTGGGAGGCTGCGATCTGAGAAATTGTCGCTGCTTTCGAGGGCTGCTTGTCAGTCCAGCGGAGTGAGGCACCGCGCGGATCAGAGCGGGACCTCGCCGTCCCTGGGGGGGCTGCGATCTTCAACATTGTCGCCACTTTCGAGGGCTGCTGGTGGGTCCAGCGGAGTGAGGCACCGCGCAGACCTGAGCGGGACCTCGCCGTCTTTGGGGGGCTGCGATCTCTGACACTGTCGCCACTTTCGACGGCTGCTGGTGGGTCCAGCGGAGCGAGGCAGCGAGGCACCGCGCGGATCTGAGCGGGACCTCGCCGTCCTTGGGGGGGCTGCGATCTGCGAAGCAGCCGCCACTTTCGAAGGGTGCTGGTGGGTCCAGCGAAGTGATCTGGGGCACCGCGCGGACCTGAGCGGGACCTCGCCGTCCCTGGGGGGCTGCGATATGGGAAATTGTCGCCACTGTCGAGGGCTGCTGGTGGGTCCAGCGGAGTGAGGCACCGCGCAAATCAGAGCGGGACCTCGCCGTCCCTGGGGGTCTGCGATTTGCGAAACTGTCGCCACTTTCGAGGGTTGCTGGTGGGTCCAGCGGAGTGAGGCACCGCGCAGATCTAAACGGGACCTCGCCGTCCCTGGGGAGGCTGCGATCTGCGAAGCCGTCGCCGCTTTCGAGGGTTGCTTGGGTGGCCAGCAAAGCAATCTGCCAAACTGTCACCACTTTCGAGGGCTGCTGGTGGGTCCAGAGGAGCGTGGCACCGCGCGGACCTGAGCGGGACCTCGTCCCTGGGAGGCTGCGATCTGCGAAACCATCGCCACTTTCGAGGGCTGCTGGCGGGGTGGGTCCAGCGGAGTGAGGCACCGCGCGGACCTGAGCGGGACCTCGCCGTCCCTGGGGGGCTGCGATCTGCGAAACTGCCGCCACTTTCGAGGGCGTCCCGCGGAGTGAGACCGCGCAAATCTGAGTGGGAACTCGCCGCCCTTGGGGAGCTGCGATCTGCGAAACTGTCGCCACTTTCGAGGGCTGCTGGTGGGTCCTGCGGAGTGAGGCACCGCGCGGATCTGAGCAGGACCTCACCGTCCCTGGGGGGCTGCGATATGCGAAATTGTGTCAATTTTCTAGGGCTGCTGGTGGGTCCAGCGGGTTGAGGCACCGCGCAGATCTGAGAGGGACCTCGCCGTCCCTGCGGGGCTGCGGTCTGCGAAACTGTTGCTACTTTCAAAGGCTGGTGGCGGGTCCAGCGGGGTGAGGCTCCACGCAGATCTGAGCGGGACCTCGCCGTCCCTGGGGGGCTGCGATCTGCGAAATTGTCGCCACTTTCGATGGCTGCCGGTCCTGCGGAGCGAGGCACCGCGCGGATCTGAGTGGGACCCCGGCGTGCTTTGGGGGCTGCGATTTGCGTAATTGTCGCCACTTTC